CTGAGGTAGATGCTTGCATAAGTGCATGGAGACTTGATGGATTATTTAGGAAATTATATGAATGAGAGAACATTAGGTAAAAGGTAAGGCAGAGACAGCACCTTAGACAAAGGTAGATTAAGTTAGGTTAGGCTCAGGCACTGAAAGAGTTATTTTAAGTACTGGCATTGGTTGGGTTCAGGTTTTCAGATATACCACAATCACTTAAGAAGGCCAGGAGTTGTTGGTCACATTTTATTTCATATCTTTTTCCTGTAATTTCCTTCTACGCAAAAATCGTACCATTCCTAGTGTAGCACTGCTTGATAAGACCAGGTTTTTGTTTGCGAATTTGGCGCAGCCTGTAGAGGAGGGATCCACGCTGCTTTGTAAGACACTCATTTATATAGAGGTTGGTTTTTTGCTTAGCAGCTGATTGTATGAGTTCAAACTTCGCAGAGGGATTTGCAAGTTTGATGAGCATTCTCTTACTGATACGGGGATTGTTTTTATCTATCCTAATAGCCGATTTGATTTGAACATTCTGTTCATTTAAGTTCCTGTACCATTAAGTTAAGTACTGTATGGGGTTTTAAGTGTGCCTACTCTGGTAGTAACGATTGGTGAGACCTGGGGGTAGTATTTGCCAGTGTTTTGGGTACCCCTAAGTGTTGTGTTTTGTATTAGGGTACCACGTGGTGTTTCTACCCTAAGCTGCATCCAGCTTCAGTGCTTATCCAGTAGTACTTTACCCTAGCTTGTTCTTAGTGTAAACCTTGTATCCTGCCTAAGTGGACCAAGGCTTTTTAACGTAAGATAGTGTGGTAAAGTTATTATTATTATTGTTATTGGTGTGAGTGTATATGGGGGGTTGTTAAGGGTTAATAAATAAGTACATGAATTATAGGAGTATCCCTTCTTCCTGTGTGGGAGTGCATTGATCAACCCTTAGACTGACATATATGGTCTAGTAGCAAGGTATTATTACTGTGGATAGTTTATTTTGGGTGCCGGGCCTTTTAGCTCTCCCATATTTGATACTCTGTCTTCTAACTACCTTTACCCCTTAATAATACCAAGTCCCCCATAGCAAGACCCACACAATTATTATATAACAAACAGCATTCATTCTAATCACTTATCAACTTTCTCTCTCGATTCATACCAAAAGTGTGTAAAATAAAAATAATAAATCCAATAAGAGCATCAACAACTTTGTGTCCAAGGACTGGCAACATTACTATTTTAATGTCCCAAATTAACTTAATAGCTATATACTGTATTATGACTTAATAGTCACTTGGGGACACACACTGAAGAATTCTCAGAGGATAAATAAATAGCATTACTTGAAGAACATCTGTGTATTAAGAGAACAATCCAAGTTATGGCAAGTGATCAGTGAGCTTGTATGGTTTCCTATTCATTAACATCCTGTTCTTATATACTGTATCATATTCCTTCAGGAACAAGAAGCCAATTACAATTAAGAAAGGTCTTCCTAGAGCAACAACTGATGCTTCTAGGATGTAAACCACAATAGTTGCCTAACTCCTGGGTGCCATTTTACAGCAAGGTGAAGAGGTAATAGGTAATAGAAACATTGCCTAAGTAATTCCATGCTGGTGCTGGAATTGAGCCTGTGACCTTTAGACTGTAAAGATAATTGTTATATAACTTCAATATAATAATTAATGGCCATAACTAAAGACCAAGTATTTAACTTTATTCTATCTATAATATTAACTAATAATAAATATAACAATAACTACAATCCACAATGAAATTACACTGGCATGATATATAAATGAAAATCATTTTGACTGTAAAACCCTAGTTGGGCTAAGGTTCGGGGTCTCCAGAACTACCCAGAGAATTCAATAGAGTACCAGGTTGGTCGACGTTTGTAATCACCTAGTTGTGCTTGCAGGGGTTGAGCTCTGCTCTTTGGCCCGCCTCTCAACTGTCAAATCATCCAACTGGTACTAACTACAAACTATATATATATATTTTTTCACACACACCCGCCCCCAGGAAGCAACCTGTTTCAGCTGTCTAACTCCCAGGTACCTATTTACTGCTAGGTAACAGGGGCATCAGGGTGAAAGAAACTCTGCCCATTTGTCTCTGCCTATTCCGGGAATTGAACCCGGGCTACAGGATTACGAGTTCTGCACGCTGTCCACTCAGCTACCAGACCCCTCAGGTTACTATCATGGCAGAGTCAGTTAAAACAGGTGTCTGGGAAATACCTGAATTTGGGTTCAAGTTACTCCATTACTTCAAAATGATTTTAAATAAATACAGTATTCCCTTTCATCAAAACAACAGGAAATTAAATTACCAAACAGATTAATAGTTGCTACTTCTGCATCTGGTCCCCACATAAGCCTATGTGATCATACATACTAAATAGGCAATATTTAAACAGAGGTTTTAGCATTAAAATTAAATTCACATTTAGCTAATGAGTAACCACCCTTATATATAATAGCTTATAAATAATGACATCAATAATAACAGAAAATTAGGCATAGTCTAGGCAAACCACCATGAATGAAATGCTCCCAGGATAATACAAATTCAGGTCAGATTAATACGTCTGATATAAAGAAATACAGTGCTGGAAATCGTATATACATTCATACCGTATTTGCAGGCATAAAAGACATACCCTTGCATAAAACACACCCCTATGGCTATTTTATGGAAAAACAATTTTAGTATGTTTCATCATACATTTATTTAAAGATACTTTAAAGTGGTTTTGTAGGGAAAAATGTATGCTTGTCTGTCTCCTTAGCCTACAGTGCTCAGTCTCCCATCCATAATACGGCCATATTAGACGCAGGGCAATTTTTTTATACATCTAAAAATTATAAATGTATCTTATACACTAGCAAATATGATTAACTCTCGCATTCAGACTAATAAAAATACTAGTCAGGCTGGATATGCTAGATAACTGATGAGGTTTGGTTAATATAAATGTCTTAGGGCCATATAGCCTAAATGTGGAAGTTTTGCAAAAATAAATACTAGTCAGGCTAGTATTAATTCTAGAGATATCTACATTAGAAAGTCATGAATAAAGATGAGACAGAAGTAACTTTAATAATACAGTACTATTCATCGATAGTAAAACTTTAAAGAGTAAAAAAAAAAAAGATATGAAAATATTTAAAACAGATTAAGCTTACTGATGAGTTTCTAATTCCTGAATGAAAAAACACTTTTTGTTATTACTGTTACTAAAATGTATTCACTTCGTGTACATCTCAAACAGTTTTCTACTCCCTGCCCAAATGTCTAATGAAATGCTTAGACTTGCACTGAAGACAGTCTAGACTTAGACTGAAATGCTTATAAAAAACAAAATGTCCTTAACCTAATTATAACCCTTAACCCTAAGTCCTTAACCTATTTACGATCCTGGGTCCAGTGTTACTGTGACATATGGACCCAGGATCGTATGGCATTTGTTTACATATAGATGATGAAGGGACCCTTTCACTTATGTATGCATTTTAGTGTGATCAGCCCTGAATGTGTTGAGATTATATGTTGGAGAATTGTTATTTAAATCATAGTTTTTAGATAGGCTTGGTTAAAGAAGGAGTGTTAATTATCTGGTAGTTTTAGCACAGAATTGGTTACTCAATTTGTAAATAGTATGCGATTGTGTCCTTGCCAGACGTTACAGCATCATGATGCTCCTAGCTTTTTAGTTACACTGTGATAATACTTGGTGTAGTGTATTACAAAGCTAGGATGTTATATTGCTTAGAACTGAATAGTGGCAATTAAATATTGTATTAAGAGAGTAAATATTTACTGTATGATCAGCTGATCAAGCCAAACAACCAGACACATCGCGATGGTGATTTCGGCCTCTTGTGTTTGCGACTTTGGCTGGTTGGTCATAGTGGCTGGGCGTCTCTTCCTACTCCTCTACTTCTTAAGTTTTATAAGCAAGTTAAGTACCATTACCACCTGCTGCCCTTTTCTTTTAAGTGTAACCTTGTGTGTGTACCCTGGTCCTAACCTAGAGATCCATGTAACTAGATCAAGGTACTGACCAGTGAACAGGTGTCTGATATAATTATACCTATTTAGGTTAAAGGTTCATTTGTAATTTAAGTTTAATTGTCCCTTAAGGAATCGTAGACTTTGCCACTAGTTTGATGCATGTAAACCTCGTCTCCTGTTTAAGTGGGATCAGAGAGGTAACGTAAGGTAGATGTGTACTGTAAAGAATACAGTGTTCTGCTGTACTTGGGGGTTTTAGGGTTATAATAAAGTTGCTAAATATTCACCTGGAGTATCCAATTCCCTCCTCTTGAACTTGGGTTAAGAGGTTTGCTAAAGATTACAGACCATATTTATTTATTAATTGTTGGGAACTGCTTCCCTGGGGGCCAGGCCTATCCTACCACTTTTAGATGGTTCTCCTATACCTTGTTTAAACCCTAATAGGCTCCCAATTGTAACATTACCAAAAGCTATAATGGGTGCTATATATATTTTTTTCTATTTTTTAATAGGTCCTAAATGGAAAGCATTAATAACAAATGCTAAAATCATGTTCTCAACTTTGTCTTATCTTGGAAAAATCCAAAAGTATTAACTTACCTATGAATAATCTTGAGTATTTTTACCATTGCAGTTTTCCTGGTGTTTCGTTGGGTTATGAGGTGTACCGATTTTTACTAGAACCGATGATTAATATATAACCTAAATACAATGTGCTACAGAGTCTTGCCTTTATGGTCAAATATATTTTTCATGCAAAACTATGAAAACAAAGATTACTTTGCGAAATATCAAACTGATGTATTGATAGCGTGCTTTTTTAAGTTGCAGCTCAGTTTCCAAATAATATACTTAATTTGTAACAAGTTAATGTCCTGATTTGCATCTCATACAATACTGTGCTAACATGAATGGCACTGAAAATTTTGGAGACAACAAATTTGGAGACATAAAATTATGATTATTTCTGTCAAAACAGGACACAAGGCCTATTGAGGTTTATCACCAGAATGTGCTAATATGTGAAGTAGTATACTATTGCGTTGCTTAAATCTTTTCCCACACTCGGAACACTCGAAACGTTTGCCACCAGAATGCACTGCCATGTGCCTCTTCATATTTCCAAGCTCACTGAAACTTTTCCCACACTCTGGACACATGTGAGGCTTAATACCTGAATGCACATTCCTGTGCTTCTTCATATTACTTTGACAAGTGAACTTTTTCCCACACTCTGGACACTCATGCAGTTTAGTATCCATATGCACTTTCATGTGCCTTGTCATAGATACAAGTTGAAAGAATTTTTTCCCACACTGTGGACACTCATGGCGTTTATCACCGACATGCACCAACATGTGAGTCTTCACACATTCACGACGAGCAAAGTTTTTCCCACACTCTGGACACTCATACGGTTTGATGTCCACATGCATCATCATATGCCTGTTTACGGAATGAAGTCGACTAAATCTTTTCCCACACTCTGGACACGCGTGCAGTTTAATGCCCATGTGTAACATCATGTGCCGGTTTCTTGACTGACGTTGATTAAATCTTTTCCCACACTCTGGACACTCATGAGGTTTATCATCCACATGCACTATCATGTGAGCCTTCATATTTTTAAGTTGACTAAATCTTTTTCCACACTGTGGACACACATGAGGTTTATCACCTGTATGTGCCAGTATGTGACACTCCATACTTTCAACACGACTAAAGTTTTTCCCGCACTCTGGACACTCATGAACCTTAATGCCCGAATGCAGCATCATGTGCCTCTTCACAGATCCACGTTGACTGAATCCTTTCCCACACTCTGGACACACGTGAGGTTTATCACCTGTATGAACCACCATGTGAGTCTTCAAAGATCCAACGCGATAGAAGTTTTTCCCACACTCTGGACATTCATGACGTTTATCCCCCGTATGCATCAACATGTGACTCTTCAAAGATCCTGAAAGGCTGAAGGTTTTCTCACACACTAGACACGGGTAAGGTTTCGTCATCTTCTATAAAATTCGCAGTTTCCTTGAAGGTTATCTATTCCTGATGACTACAGCAATTGTCTTGTAACGTGAGGAGCTATCTGGAGTTATTATACTTCCGCTGGGAACCGTAATTAAGCTTTAGCGTTGCCTGGAATACGTGACCCAAGAAATTTTAGCTTTGTTGTGGTAGGGTTAGGGGCAGCTACAGCACAAGGATATTTGATACTAGTCAGTTCATACAGAAGACGAATACGATCGTCGTCGCCCCTAAATCAACACAACAACAGAAGACGAATCCCACATATATTTATTTATTTATTTATTTATTTATTTATTTATTTATTATTTATTTATTTATTTATTTATTTATTTATTTATTTATTTATTTATTTATTTATTTATTTATTTATTTATTTATTTATTTATTTATTTATTTATTTATTTATATACAAGAAGGTACATTGGGTTTGTGAGAATACATAGCATAGTATTTACAATCTTGTAAAGCCACTAGTACCACACGGGAAACATCTCCCGTCACGCAGGGTGCAGTTGCACCTCCACAGATCTCCAGTATCAGCTCTTGATACTGGTAATGGCTCCAAAGGGCCACCACTTACATGACTAAAGGTGGCACATGCCCGTGCCACCTTTTGGGTGGTTTAATCATCATCAATCAATCAATCACTAGTACACGGGAGACATCTCCCGTCACGCAGGGTGCAGTCGCACCTCCACAGATCTCCAGTATCATCTATTGATACTGGTAATGGCTCAAAAGGGCCTCCACTTACGGGCTATTCATGCCCGTGCCACCTTTTGGGTGGCTTAATCCTCATGAATCAATCAATCACTAGTACCAGTCTTACCTGGGAAGCGGTCGGGTCAAGAAGTACCTGCTCCGCGACTTGGAGTGGAGTTAGTACCATGGTGTTTAGCTCAATCTACACATAAGGAGACTGACTAGTATCAATCGCATTCTACACATCTCCCCCCCCCCCATGCTGGGTACTGAGATGGAGACTCAGTCACCAGAAGAACTGGCTACTTCCCACGGCAATATTCCCATGGACTCAGAAAGCAGCCAGTCAGTCGAGGAGAGCGAATTTCAAAAAGTTCTAACCAAAAATAAAAAAATAAAAATGTTTATTTAGGTAAGGTACATACATAAAAGAGATTTTACAAAGAGTGATGGATTTATAGATAGGGCTAGTACATACAATGCCTAAAGCCACTATTACGCAAAGCGTTTCGGGCATAAAAAACTTAAATGACTAAAGCTTAATACTAATTGAGCATAAAGAGTAAAATGAAAACATGGAATAAAAACATAGCTGAAAAAGCAGCACAAATACAATTCTGTCGACAAACAGCGCTCTTTAAAAAAAAAAAAACAGACATTGGATGACATTAGAGGGGTAAGGTAGGTTACAGGGAATTTGTTAGGTATAGCTTCGTTTTTATCTTAAACTGGTTGAGAGAGGTACAGTCTTTAACATGGTTGGGAAGGTCATTCCACAATCTGGGTCCCTTGATTTGTAGAGCATTTCTAGTGTGATTAAGTCGTACTCTAGGAATATCAAAACTGTATTTATTTCTGGTGTGGTGCTTATGGGTTCTGTTACAACCTTCTATGAAGCTTCTATGAGATCAGGATCAACCAGGCAACAGAAGAAACGGAGAAGACAGGATGTAAGGCGTGGTGTTGACAGTGATAGTACACATAACGGAAACGACAAGAGAATGAAGAACGACGCCGAGACTGATCAAACCAGTGTCGACGAACGGACAGAACGAGGTCAGGAAGGTGAGGGTCAGCGGAGATGGAGGCTTCTCTTCCCTGCCTCATGCACACGTACTGGCCTATCATCATAAGCTGCTGTGGACAGCTCTTGATACTGGTAATGGCTCCAAAGGACCACCACTTACGGGCTATTCATGTCCGTGCCACCTTTTGGGTGGTTTAATCACAATCAATCAATCAATCAGTAGTACCAGTCTTACCTGGGACGCGGTCGGGTCAAGAAGTACCTGCTCCGCGACTTGGGGTGGAGTTAGTACCATGGTGTTAGCTCAGTCTACAGATTGATGATTGATTAAGATTAAGCCACCCAAAAGGTGGCACGGGCGTGAATAGCCCGTAAGTGGTGGCTCTTTTGAGCCATTACCAGTATCAGGAGTTGATACTGGAGATCTGTGGAGGTGCGACTGCACCCTGCGTGATGGGAGATGTCTCCCGTGTCAGTCTACACACAAGGAGATTGACTAGTATCAATCGCATTCTACACATCTCCCCCCATGCTGGGTACTGAGATGGAGACTCAGTCACCAGAAGAACTGGCTACTTCCCACGGCAATATCCACATGGACTCAGAAAGCAGCCAGTCAGTCGAGGAGAGTGAGTTTCAAAAAGTTCTAACCAGGCAACAGAAGAAACGGAGAAGGCAGGATGTAAGCTAGGCGTAGTGTTGACAGTGATAGTACATGTTATAGAATGGTGGACTTGCTATGGGGGAACTAGTACTATTAAGGGATACCTGGTTGATACCTGGTTGATGGGGTTTGAACTTAAAAATGTCCATAGAGCTGGCAAGCAGAGGATGGAAGAACGGGGCGAGGCTGCAGAAATCTTGAGCAAGGATCCGGGGATGAGGTGAAGAGGGGAGATGAAAGATCGGTGGCCCAACCACCGCGGATTTGAACTTGATCAGATGGAAGTAGAATTGAGTAGGGTGTCATTTGCAGTACACACAGAGGCCGGGAACGCAAGCAGCTGGCAGTGGAGGTTTGATGTCAGATGTTGATGTTAGGTCAGTTCGTTAGTAGTCTTCTTCCTTGTTGATTTCACCAAACTTTGATCGTTGGTCTTCTTTTTAGGCTTGTCGGACTTGGTGGTCACGTTTCGTGTTGATGCTTGGAGGTGATCTTTCCGTGGAGGTGATGGTGTTCCAACAGATACGTCTTCATCCGATTCATCAGATGAGTATAAAGAGCAGGGGTGTTGACACGCTGGAGTAGATTTCTTGAAGGTTGAGTTCTTGGAGGTTGAGTAGCAGTGGTAGGTACTGCAGCAGAAGGTGCTGCATAGTTGGTACCCTCTATAGGGTCACACCAAGGGTCACACCAGTCGATGGGGTTCTGGGAGTTCTTCTACTCCCCAAGCCCGGCCCGAGGCCAGGCTTGACTTGTGAGAGTTTGGTCCACTAGGCTGTTGCTTGGAGCGGCCCGCAGGCCCACATACCCACCACAGCCCGGTTGGTCCGGCACTCCTTGGAGGAATAAATCTAGTTTCCTCTTGAAGATGTCCACGGTTGTTCCGGCAATATTTCTTATGCTTGCTGGGAGGACGTTGAACAACCGCGGACCTCTGATGTTTGTACAGTGTTCTCTGATTAAAATTATCTGCTAGATTAAGGACCTGCCCGAAACGCTGCGCGTACTAGTGGCTTTACAAGAATGTAATTACTGTACTATCCAATGTATTCTCACAAACCCAATGTACCTTCTTGTATATATATAAATAAAAAATAAATAAATAAATTGTGCCTATGGCATCTCTGCTCTTCACTGGTTCTATTCTGCATTTTCTTCCATATCGTTCACTCCAGTACGTTGTTATTTTACTGTGTAGATTTGGTACTTGGCCCTCCAGTATCTTCCAGGTGTATATTATTTGATATCTCTCTCGTCTTCTTTCTAGTGAGTACATTTAAAGGGCTTTGAGACGATCCCAATAATTTAGGTGCTTTATTGCGTCTATGCGTGCCGTATATGTTCTCTGTATTCCCTCTATTTCAGCAATCTCTCCTGCTCTGAAGGGGGAAGTGAGTACTGAGCAGTACTCAAGACGGGACAACACAAGTGACTTGAAGAGTACAACCATTGTGATGGGATCCCTGGATTTGAAAGTTCTCGTAATCCATCCTATCATTTTTCTGGCTGTCGCAATATTTGCTTGGTTATGCTCCTTAAACGTTAGGTCGTCAGACATTATTATTCTCAAATCCTTTACATGCTGTTTTCCTACTATGGGTACATTTGATTGTGTTTTGTACTCTGTATTATGTTTAAGGTCCTCATTTTTACCGTATCTGAGTACCTGGAATTTATCACTGTTAAACATCATGTTGTTTTCTGATGCCCAGTCGAAAACTTTATTAATATCAGCTTGAAGTTTTTCAATGTCTTCAGCCGAGGTAATTTTCATACTGATTTTTGTGTCATCTGCAAAAGATGATACGAAGCTGTGACTTGTATTTTTTATTTTATCAGGGTAAGGGTAGTTAGAATACAGAGTTATCCAATATGGGAGAACTAAAAGGCCCGGCCCCCAAAATAAACTATCCACAGTAATAATAACTTGCTACTAGACCATGTCAGACTAGAGGTTGATCATAGGACTCCCACACAGGAAGAAGGGATACTCCATTACTAACATACTTATTTATTAACCCCTTAACAACCCCCCATATACACTCACACCAATAACAATAATAATAATTACTTTACCACACTATCTTACGTTAAAAGCCTTGGTCCACATAGACAGGATACAAGGTTTACACTGTGAACAAGCTAAGGTAAAGTACTACTAGTAAAGAGCTAGAAGCTTGAGTCAGCTTAGGGTAGGGAGACCACGTGGTTCCACTGGGACCCCTTTTAGAATAACTAGTAACACAAACCCTAGGAACACCTATCTCCTACAAAGAATAATACTCTACACATTAGAACAGGCCTATGCCAGACAATGAGAACGTTACACAGTATACTTAGCTGGGTATCAGCCCACAGAAATAAAGAAACGAGAGGAGAGAGAAGAGTTCCTTTCACCACAGCCAGCCAGCAGAGAGAGAGAGCTCTAGCATCTCCTTCCCAGCTCACTCGCAGCCAGTAGACTGCTCAACTAATCGTACAGATATCCTATCCCAGTTTACTCAGATTTACTTTACACTTGATTAGAAAGTATTAGTAAACATAGTTGTTGCCTATTTTATTATTTAATAATCAACCCCAAGCTC